TACAATTAATTCGTCATTATTTAATTGATGAAATTATTTCGAAATATCGTTTATGAGAATATTATATGTATATGATATTGATTTAAGTATTCAGTTATTTAATGACGAAAATTTAATTGAAATAAATCATGAAATATATGAAAGAATGAAAAGTTCAATTGATCTTAATTTAGCTAAAAAAATTAATTTTTTTAAAAGAGAGAATATTTATCTATTAAAGAACAATGGATAAATGCAGCATGTTCAAAATTACGTGATCGTCTTCAATTTTTAAAGAATTTAATTCGAAATAAATTAAATGGATATTTATATCGAGCTATTGATAATTCAATAGTTTCGTGTCGTTATTATTCTTTTCCATCAGATGGACCAAAATATAAAAGAAATATCTTTACCATCAACACCATTTGTTGAAAATTATTTTTATTATCCAAATGGAGAATTTAAACATCCAGATGATATTAATCAATTAGTTGAATATGATTATAATTATCAATTATATCTTATGGCTCATTATGGTTCGATTGGGTTATGAATGATGATCCATTTAGATCTTTTGCTGATCCAGGTTTTATTTTTATTTTCATTTTCATTTTTTTTTTTTCTTATTTTCTTTTTTTATTTATTTAAAGGACAATATGCAATATGTTTATTTATGTCGAGATTTTACTTCAATGGTCTGATTTAGTAAAACTTCGTTTTGGTTCACGATGTGAAGATTGTCCATCATTATATAGATATATGAAAGAATATACACGTTTAATAGCCAAAACATTTCATGGTTCTCGTCTTGATAATTCTCATTCAACACCATTATGGTTTGCAGAACTGAACTTTTTACTCGAATATGTCTATTGATATTCATTTTATTAATCAAATTGGAATTAATTCATTAGTTAAAGAATCTTGGAAAGCAAATAATGCATATGAATTAGGTCAATATGTATCATTAGTAAGTGAAGATGATCCAATAGATTCATTTAAAAAAAAATAATTATCGTCAATTATTATCAAATAAACCATATTCATGGTTTTATGATAAAACACATGATAATCCATGTCAAATTGAAAGAAGATCAATTGAAGATACAATAACACGTTCAGCATATGTTTCTATGGCTTATTGTTCAACTGGTTCAAGTCGAGGTTATGATGAATTAATTCCACATTATATTGATGTTGTTCATGAAACAAGATTTTATTCTCGATGGGATTTGAAATCAAAACAAACTAATGATAAAAATTTCTATGATTTATTTTAACAAAAATTGTTAATCAATTACATATTAATCTTGTATAAGAAGGTTTTACTCAGGTTTGTTCGTTGTTTTTTTTAAATCTAAATAAAAAAACGAACAAAATAATCAATTTAAATTACTTTAAATAGAAAAAAGATTTATTTTATAAATAATAAAATAAAATTTTTTAAAATTAATTTATTGAGTTAAATTAAAATAAAAGTATTTTTTATCTATTAAAATAATTAAAAGTGAAAAAGAAATTTCGAGAAAAATTTTCATAAATGATGTTTTTGCTTTTTCTAGATTTTATTATTAACTTAAGCAATATTGATATTAATTATTTGAATAAATAAAATGTTCATAGAACTAGTGAAAAGAAGTTTCTTATTATTTTTAATGAATTAAAAATTTAATATGAAATAAAAGAATAATTTTAATAAGAAATATTTCTATTTATAGAATATTAAATTATCGTTTGTTCAACTAGAATTAACTTATATCTAATTTAGTTTTATAATTAATTTATAGATTAATAATTTACTAAAAAAAAAAATAACTTTGTCAAATAGAGAAGAATAGATAAATAAATAAATAAATAAATAAAAAAACTTTTTTTTTTGGTTTTTGTTGAGTTTAATTCTAATATATTTAATTTAATTTTAATTAACAAAAAACCAAATTGTTTAGTTATTAGTTGATCAACTATCAAAAAGTGTTTTATTAATAACAGGTTGTAATCCTGAAAGGCATACATCGATATTATTATTAGTTAATACATCCTTTATTGATGAAAATGATAAAGATATTCGTATAAGTCCATTATCAATTGAAGGATTAATAAATAATAAAGAAGATAAAATTTTTTGAAAGATCAAATGAATATTTAAATATATATTTAAATAAAAAAATTTCAATAGAAAAAAAAAAGTCGTTTTATTAAATTAACATCATCATCAAATTCAACCAGGGTTGGAACCGGTCCGGCAAACCGGTACCGGTCCGGCCGGACCGGACCGGTTGAATAAATCAACCGGGCCGGTAAAGACCGGAATTTCACCGGTTGAAATTTTTCAAAAATCTTCTTTGTTAATCCTGTCTTTGACCATAAAAACTAAGGTATCACATGTTTTTTCTGTCAGAATAGGTAAAAAAGTGCTCAAAACATATGTTATATTAATCGTTTTTCCTGAGGTTCTCTTTAAAAAGATTCATTATGATGAGTGTCTTTTACATGCGCCTTAAACTATTTCATATTTGGAGCGATTTTTTCTAAAAATCGGTTTTCAAAAAAAAATTCGACATTTTTCCACCGGTTTTTAACCGGTTTTCACCGGAATTTCACCGGTTGGACATGTGATTCCAACCGGCCGGTTTCCGGCCGGACCGGACCGGTAGGATTTTTCAACCGGCCGGACCGGACCGTTTTAATATTTCTCAACCGGTTCCACCCCTG